AAATTTTTGAATATTTTATATACCATGTGGCCCCTAACTTTAATTATTTCTTTTTCGTTTTGGCTCCCTAGACCATCCGAGGACATCGTATGTACTCATATCACGAAGAAGTGTACCACTTAATATAATAGCAATGTACTGCATGTGATGTATATGTTCACCCACCAAATAATAAAAAGGAAAACTAATAAAAAGAGTTTAAAAACTTTGTGTTTTAATTATAAGGACAAAATAAAAGGTAAAGTGAATAGTACCAAGATTGATTTTTTTTAATATAAAAATGTAGTTTTTTGTTAAAATGAACAGTACCACGAACTTTTCGTTAAAACTTCCATAATAAAAACATGTACATGGTGGCATGGTGCTGCAAATTGGTGCATGCTAGGACAACGTCCCACGTGTTACCGTATTGTCCGTATAGTTTTTGTGACTACCCTACAAAACAAGGGCATGTGGGTACCCTTGCTTGTGGAGAAAAGCCCCAGTCTATATACATTCATCAAGAAGAGAGCACCAACACTAAAGGCCAAATATATACGACATTACTACAGATTCCTTGCATCGTAATCAATTACGATAACGGGACAATTTGGAAGGGAGAAAATGAGAGTTAACTACATTTTACGTCTTTTAAATTAAAATGAATTTCTAATCAATTTTAATTTGCGTTGTAAGGTATTAAAATTAAATTGGTTGATTGATTTTTTTATTATCCATTAAATTGAAGATACAATGAGCTTGAGACTTTTATCTGAGCTAATTGTAAGCCGCATTTGCACTACATTAACAAACAAAAAATCATTGATTTAATGAAGGATTAGATATTCAAAGAGACAAAAGGAACAAATTGATACAGTTTCAAAACCTCAAGATGCAATGTGGGAAAACTAGAACCTTATGACGAATTTTGAAAAACAACTCAAACTTGAAAGATGTAAAATGTACTTAGTCCTTAAAATAAATAACGTTGAAGATATTGATATCGAATTGAATGAAGTTAAAGCAACAAGAATGAGCGACAACTCCTTATTAACTTTTGTAAGATTTCTTACTTTTTTTTATTCATGACATTTCTACAAATCCCTTTCACTCATGTTTCACGCACTCAAGCAAATACATAAAGAACACATATTGAGTAACGTAAAGGGCGTGTGGTCATTAGATTTTAGACATAAACTAACTTGTTTTGATATCATTAAAAAAGCTGAAATTCCACCCAAAACTAATTTGCATAATAAGAAGAATGACCTCACTAAGCCATTATAAGATTTATTAATATTTTGGCGAGAGACATTTCTTCGTGTCATCACAGGAACCCTATGAGATCCAAAGATATGTATATCTCAGATAAGCGTATTTACATGTGGTATTGACATAAATACGTATACTATACAGTACTGCCGACTGCTTCAGTAGTGATGGACAAGACCATGCGGTGCAGGTGCTTCCTCCCATGCCATGCCAAGCCAATTGCCCGCCCTCTCAGTCTCTGTCCGAACCCCACCTCTCTCTTTCGAACTCAAAAATTGAAGGAATGCCAATAGGTATAACGACAAAATAAGGAAAGAAATGCATCAGAAGCTTGCATATGGCAGGAGAGTTTTCTCTTTCTACAATCGAATTCTTGTGAACATTTCTCCTTTTGCACTTAAATTCCGCTCAGAATTCTCTGCCCACGTACTGTAGCATATACATGGCATTCTAATACACACGTAGATGATCGATTAGCAAGTTCTTTATTTACTTTTGCCAAAAACAAGATGTATAGTTAATTTCCATCTTTTTTACTCCCTAGTTTTCTATTACAAAAGTGTGTCTACAATTTTAAATCCCAAAGATATTTATCTGTAAACCACAGGACGAAACTAGCTAGTGAGTTAGTTCACGGAGAGCACAACTGAGTAGTGGCAGATGTAAGTCCTCATGAAATTCCAAACATAGTGCGTGCAGCGCCAATTTTTTTCAATTTTTTTATGTGAGGCATTTTATTGAGGATTTGGCAAATCCATCCACATTGTGTGCTTAGCGTACATTCCATCATTTGTGTCATTTTAAATGTATCTTTAGGTCAATATTATTTGAAAAAATAAATCACATATGTATAGGACTAGAAAGTCAAATTCATAAAACATATGGGAGGATGGAGGGGTAATAAACCTTTATTATTTTAGAAAAAAATGACTAACTTTATTATTATTTTTTCCAAAGTTGTTACCCTTAAAACCTATAGACTTTCCCCTATGTCGTCTTCTTCTTCATCCCGAGTTGCCATAACCAATTCAGCAACTAAATTTTTTTGTGTCATATTCGTCATCTAGTTGATGGTGGTAATGAGTTAATTCTTATTTACCATCGTATAGAGTGATTGAAAATATTATGATTTAAGTGAGACCCTGATTCCTACTTAGACCATCTTTTTTCCATCCACAAACTTGAGAGGTGTACATGCTCCCTCTGACCCATAATAAGATTCGCCCCTGGCCATGACAACGCTCAAAGCAATAAATAAAAAACTACTGTTAGGGTAAAGTTATATTTGTAAGATCACTTCCAGCTAGGGGATGGTTGATCTAATCCCCTCCCCGCCTCCTCCCAAAAAAAAAAAAAAAAAACCAAACCACTCCAGCCCTAGGAGCCCAGTTCCTCACCCAGTGGATAATTGACTGACCCAGCCCCCAGGGATAGTGACGCAAGGCTGACGTCACAGTATCGTTAGCCACTATTAAAAATTATGAAAAATTAATTAAATATTTTAAAAAATACAAAACAAAATCATAAATTTTTTTTTAATACAAATAGATTTTTTTTTTCTATAAATAGCTAACCATCTTCTTCCGCCTTACATCACATTTCAATATTTATAAATACTTTTAACCAATCTTTTATTATTATCCAAAAATAAAAATAAAATTATTTTTATTATTATATTAAAAAATATTTTAATTACGAATTACCTGAGTTATTCAATTTAGGGGTAGAGATGAGTTTGGACATTTACTATTTATTAAAGGCAATTAATATTAACTTGGTGGGATTGAATTGCCTATTGCCAATGAGGCTTTTTAGGGGTGGAAGTGCTCCAATATGAAATAGTCCAATTAGTAAAAAAATGTTGCTGCAAGGGAAAAACAGTACAATCTAAACTTGAAAAAATAATATCCTGATCATTTTAGTCCATCATATCAAGTAATTGTTTACGTGTACTCGTTATATTTACCGTATGATTAGTTACTAAGCAAATTTTAACTCCTTTAAAATTACTTGAAATACAATCTGTATCACTGTGAGGAGTGAATCTATATTTCTTTTCCCTTGCCAGAAATGGATCAAATTACTTCCATATATGAAGAGGAGAAGTAAAAGAGTGAGTAAAAGGGCAAACAGAGTGAAAAAGAAAGAAGAGGGACATTCGCAATTGCGATTCTTCAAAAAGCCAGAAAGTAAAAAGCACTTTGCTGAGTGCACAAGGTCAATTTTGTTTATAAATAAGAAAAAATAAAGCAGGGGAAAAGAGAACCAAACAAATTTTAAAAACGATAGAAAATAATTTTAGCACATCACAATAGGACAATCATGTAGCATCATGACATTGCCATTGGATATTGGGGTTCTAATTTTGAAAATCAGAAATGGGATTTGTTTTCAAGTGATTGGTGGTCTATTGCTATTAGAACAAAAAATAATCCAATATAAAAATATAGGTACATATAGAAAATTTGAAAGAGATATAATAAGATATATGTATATGTTTATACATAAAATAAAATTACAAGCAAAAGGGTTTGGCCAGTGGTCGTTTTCACACTGAGGTGGAGGTTACTCCAAATAAAATAAGAGCAGCAATCACAATGTATTGTTTATTTACCATTTTTTTTCTTCTCATTGATGCTTGTAAGTATGTACCCTGCATCATTTTGTTGTTTGCTTTTCATCACAGAAAGAAATGATGCTTTCATATTAGAGAGAGAGAGAGAGAGAGAGAGAGAGAGAGAGAGAGTTAAATCCCAATCTAAACACCTGAAACTGAAGGTGCAAAAACTGAGTGAATCAGAAGCGCACGTGGGCATGATGACACATAGAATCAGATATATACACAGACAGATACATAGAACGATAGATTGAGTTTGAAGCCCAGCAAATCAATGCAAAGAAGCCGGGACCAGATACGAAGAGTTGTGCCAAAGTTTCTGTTTTAAGTACGCTTTTGCCCTATTGCCAGTAACCTGGTTTCCCTATGACTTGTGCGAAAATTCGAGTGTACTCTGGTGTTATGGCAAGCACCGAAGCAATAGATAGCTGGATGTGTGGCCGGAAATTTAGTAAGGGAAGATCCAACCAAAACGATTCAAGACCTGAACTGAAAGAGACTCTACAAAAAAAGCTTTCTGACTCGGCAAGCTTGTATCCTTTGGATTATTGGGACCTAACGAGCCAGAACAGCCTATTCCGAAGGAGACTTATTTATACCCATTTCTAGGGCTTGCTTTGCTCGGATGTTATTGCCTTTGCCCCCACGCGCTCTCTCATCCCTCCTACCTTTGCCTATAAGATCACTGACATCTCACGAATTGGATTCGAACCAATCAAGCTACTTGCCTTTTAGTAGATCGTGAGTGGGTCTAGACACTAGTGTATAAAAAATTTCATGACTTGTGATCTTCATACTAGTAGTATTTGTTTCTAATCAAAGCAAACATAAATATCCACAAGATCAGATGAACCCAAATAAATAATATTGTTAAACATTGGACTAGCTAGTTAATTGTTTAAACTTTATCACTACGATTATTTGCAAAACAGAAATGATCATACAATCTAAGTCTTAATAATAGTTGAGATTTTTTTTGTTTGGAATAGTTTGCAAATTCTTTATAACTATATGTTTATGATTCAACAAAATAAATTAAAATGAGGACGACTATAAGTATGCGGACTTTTACTTTCTGATGTGGGATAACACTTTCTGCTGATGATGACGAAGATCAATAAATGCTTGGAAATTAACTAGCAAGGGATATAAATTCCTAAATTTTTTGTTCATGGGGTTGGTCGATTCAATTATAAGAGAATCGCCTGATATACATAGCTCATAATCACAATTAAAAAGGACAGAGATGATATAAATATATAGAAGGATTAAAAATTAAAAATTGAGAAGAAAAAAAAAAAAGAGATGGAAATTAGTGATGAGAGAAACCTATACTGCAGTACTAGTAGCAGCAGCAGCAACGGTTTTACTTGAACTGCCACCATCAACACCGCCACCGCCACCGCCATCACCATCAACACCGCCACCTTGAGTGGACGCTACCGACACATTCCCGACAACCGCAGTGGCAGTGACCGTCGGCCGTTTTCGTTTCCTTTTCTCGTAGGGAATTCCTCTTGCCTTAGCCTGTCCCTCCCTCACCTCCCTCAAATAAATCCTCACCGCTCGAGCGCCGAAGGGGTTTGACTCTGGCCGTCCCCCGTTCTCCTCGTACGCCGCCCTCAGCCGTCCGATGAGCGCGTCGAGGCTGCCCCACGCCTGCTTGAGCGGGCAGGCGCACGGGGCGGGAGGGTTCTGGTGTCCGAAGTAGGGGCAGCCGGCGGCGTGGACTTTAGTCTTCCCAAACTGGTCGAGGTACTTAAGGAACTCGATGACGTGGGCCCCACTGCAGCGGGCCAACGTGAGCGGAGGCTTGTGGTTCTTGAGGTACTGCAGGAAGGTGTTCCAGTCCCGCCGCTTCTGCGACTCGTAGCGGCTCGGCGGAGCCGGAGATGCTGACGAGGGCTCGGCAGCTACAGGAGTAGCCGCCGGGGCTGCGGACCTTGACGAAGACGACGGACCCTCGCCGCTGCTGGCGTTCGGGTCGGGCGGTCCGCCTCCACCTGATGCAGAATCCATGGGTAATAAAAGTACTCTCTCTTTGTCTAATTGTTTTGGCTCTTCTGCTAAGTATTTTATAACTGGGTATTTTATGTATAGACAGGTTTTTTTGGTTTTTACTTCTTCCTCTCTCTCTCACTAGTTTCTAAGCTGAGGCTTTGAATTTTGGGTTGTTTCTGTCCTTGTCTCTCTACCTTCCTCCATGTGAGGGTTGAATATTTGGGGTGATCAGGTTCAGAGAGTGGAGGTGTTAGTATACTGTGAATCTCTTTTCACGGGAATTTGTTGGTTTTTTTTTTTCGTTTTTGTTTGGACGAGTGAGAAAGGGAAGAGGGTTTTAGGAGAGAGAGAGTGAGAGGAGCGTTTGATGATGGGACGTAAAATAAGTGGATGAATGAATATATGAATTTAGACTCTCTCACTCTCTCACCTAAGAAAATAAGAGAGAGAGAGAGAGAGAGAGAGAGAGAGAGAGAGAGGGGGATGGATGAGTAGGAAATAGAGAGAAGAGAGGAAGGGGAGAAATGGGGTGTGTGTGTGTGTATGGTGGTAGTAATGTGTGCGTGTATATGTATGGTTGTAGTAATCAAAAAGAAGAAATGACAATATTTTCACATGGGGTGGCCCCTTTGGAAGGACATGTTTACTATTCCTTCCTCCTGCCTTCTGCTGGCCTCTCCATTCTTAATTCACCTCTCTCTATCTTGACCAATCCAATACAATTTACCATTTATACAGGGCGATTGTAAACCCAAGCACTACTCCTACCACATTTTTTTCTATTATATTTATATCATCCTTCTAATAGATATAGAATCCACATGTGTTAGGGGCTCTACCTCTATTAGAGAAAGGATAATGTCAGAGAGACTAAATTTGCAAACTAAATGATGTGTTGCCAATAAAAGATAATGCTACATTTACCATATTATTCATACCATGCATATTCGATTTTAATCTCACTTTCTTTTTTTTTTCTAGAAAGCAAGAGTTCTCACGTTACTCTCTAAAACTCAGGATTTGCTCTACTTTGCCTTGATTCTGTCTATTTTGTCCAAAAAGCTATCAAATATGCCGACATGTATTTAAAAGTGCATATATGGCGTCCATATATATTACACACCTTAGATTCTCCAAAAAAAAACCACCAATAGAATCTCCACTCTCGAAACCTCTCCACTATTCCACCAAATCTCGATTCGTGAAACCAATCTCTACCACTGTTTCACTTATCTATGCCCTTGAGTCCTACTCCTCCTACTCCAACAATTGGAGTAAAATTCAAATTTTAGCTTCTAAACCCATCAAACTTTCAACTCTTGGGCCAAAACTGAGTTTTGGGTCAAATTTTTATTAAGATTTAACATTAGATTAGTGGGCTGGCCCGCTACTGCTTGTGGACGCTCCCGGGAAGGATACACATGCATAGTGCAAACGCGCCCAACACCCTCAACGCACAAGGCGCTGACATCGTGGGGGTCCTACGCACGTGGGTGTGTCGGCCAACATTATGAGCCCAATGGCTCTTTCTTTCATCGAATGGTGGGGAGCAATAGACCATTTGTTCCATCCTACAGTCCATATTCAAATTTTGTTAATTTTTAATTTTATATTTATAAATTCATTGAATTCAACAACTGAGATTTGATATGATCAAATCTAATAGTAAAAAAAAGATCTAGCAGCCCAAATTTAAATCCAACTGCTAAAATAATTTAAAAAAAACTATTTCAATCAAAATTGTCACATCCCCGCCCGGGGGGACCACTTCCCGGGCCCGCTCCACCACCGTAGCACGATATTGTCTGCTTTGGGCCCCGACCACGCCCTCATGGCTTTGTTTATGGGAACTTACACGAGAACTTCCCAATGGGTCACCCATCATGGGATTGCTCTAGCCCTCTTCTCGCTTACCTTTGGAGTTCCTATGGAACCCGAAGCCAGTGAGCTCCCAAAAGGCCTCGTGCTAGGTAGGGATAGGAGTAAACATATAAGGATCACTTCCCTGGGCGATGTGGGATGTTACAATCCACCCCCCTTAGGGGCCTGACGTCCTCGTCGGCACACCACGACCAAGGTTAGGCTCTGATACCAAATTGTCACATCCTGGCCCGAGGGGGACCACTTTCCAGGCCGGCTCCACCACCGTAGCACGATATTGTCCGCTTTGGGCCCCGACCACACCCTCACAGTTTTGTTTCTGGGAACTCACACGAGAACTTCCCAATGGGTCACCCATCATGGGATTGCTCTAGCCCCCTTCTCACTTAACTTCGGAGTTCCTATGGAACCCGAAGCCAGTGAGCTCACAAAAGGCCTTGTGCTAGGTAGGGATGAAAATATACATATAAGGATCACTTCCCTAGGTGATATGGGATGTTACAAAATTCACCTAAAAACTCTATAAATAATCTCGGGCTAAAAATTTGTTGGAATCTAAATTTTTTTAGGTAAAAATGTTCATAAAATTAAATTAAGATAGCCTACTTAATTTTTATTTAAAAGTTACTTAAAAAAATTAGCCAAATTCATTATTTAATAATCTCCGGATAAAAAATTAGCCCAGAAGGGTTTAAGCAGAAAAACTGTTTCTGGAATAAAACCTAAATTTTTTGTGTTTAAAATTTTATATTTTAACACAAGGGTTGGAGATGGCCTAAGCATAAATCCTAAAAGCTAAACCATCAATCGAATTGCAAGATAAGTTATCATGGATATGCGGCTGAAACTCATATTATTATTGTATTTCATTATTTTTTATTTGAGAATTTTTTTTTTTAAGTAGATTGATAGCGTTAGTGAGTTATTCGAGAGAGGAGAATCAAGAACTAGACCCACACCAGGATGCATTCACATAATTAATTTTCACCACTACAAACTTCTGGTTTTCCATTATTATGCTTAGGGGAAAAGGCCAATGAAATATAATAAAGCACATAAAATACTAATCCTATAGTATAAAAACAAAAACAAACTAAAATTTCCATGAATATATATGATTACGTGTCTGCAACATCAAATGTTGGCGCGTAGGGTAAGCATTGGCTTGAAGTGGATGGCAAAGAATTGGGTCTCAGTACGGCCATATAAGGACAGGAAGGTTAAAAAAATAAAAACCCACTTAAGGAGCTTATATGGTTGCCCATGAAAGTGCTTAATCTTTGCTTCACTCAAGAGTGAAAGTATAACCATGCAGCTGCTTTCAAACATTAATACATACCTTGAATTATTATGTTCAATCTCAACAGAAAGTGAGTACTCAAAATGAATAAGAGCATGTTTGAGATTGTTTTAAAAGGCTAAAATTGTGTTTTTACAATTAATGATATCTTTTACTCCATATATTTGAGTGCGGAAGAAAATTTCAAAAGTGTTTTCTAATAAGAACTTAAGAGTGCTGCTTATTTTAACGTGTTTCTAATAAAACAATTTTGTGCAAGCGCTTCAGAGGATAAATATTCTTTAGAGTCACAACTTTGCCTAGCTTGTTACAATGGTCCATTAGAATTGTAGGCTACCAATTCTCACACAACCTAACAATTTTTTTTATTAATAATGGGTTTGGAGAGTTAATTGTTGAATCGTGATTGATAGGATGGAGAAATGATAAATACTAGGTTGAATGTAAAAAGGAAATAACTACCACTACCATAAAATTATTTAGTAGCAGTTACCAACTTTTGTATTCTTTGTGATCTTCTCTTTCCATTCAACATACTTATTGTTTCATGATATTCAAATTACACACTCACATATATGTATATTAGAAATGTTTAGTCTACCCCACCCTTCTAAAATAAGAGAGTATAAATATCCTTTAATCGAACTATATTTTTGTAATGCAATCACATCCACACATTACATCTTACCTTAACAATGTATGACTTCAATGTAAAAATCAATTGTTAAAGTAATAAAATGTCATTTTGTCTTGTTAACAATACTCTTACAATTATAGTGTAACATTGATACTCTTGTAATTTAGATGTCGAATGTTGACGTCATGTTGTAACACTATTACTAGGAAGGGAGCCCATGTGAGTGAATAACGATACTAATAATGACTTACATTTATATCGTAATAAGACATTCATGGTTTAATAATCAACGTTGATAGTGTAATAAACAATATACGTCAGTAAAATCTATAATTATGTAACTTTCGACAATAAATTTTGAAGATTATAATGTAATTTTTTATAATCAAAGGACAACGGTAATCCTCATTAAAGGGGACCATAGAATTTATCTTTAGAAACCAATAGTAAATTTATTCATTTATTAATTAATTAAGGTTCAATGTCAACCAAGGCCATCTGATCCACATAAATCATGTTTCCAACAGCTTCCTTTATGGAAATATTGTATTGCAGTGGTCCTGAATTTTGTCACAACGTATCAAGGAGTGCAAATGTGCATACTAAATTAGGGAAGTCTTGCTTGAGTTTTAATGCGCCTACCATATACATAAACCCTCTGGTAAATTAACAGATATGACCTCCCGAAATGAAATGACTGGATTGATAAGATTTTACCTTATTTTGTTCAGGGGGAAGTGTATTCGTGGGTTGTGGGAATCGTGTCAATCACTCTCTCGTACAATGAGCATGATTGACTTGTCACTTGGATTAAGATTCCGATCAGCTGCATTTCTTGTCATGAAAAAATGTCCATTACCGTGATCAAAAAAGAAAAACTGTCCATTACATATTTTTATATTTTTGTTTTATAAAGAAGAGAAATGCTTTGAGGTTTTTTTTTTTAAATGGTAGTGGTGGGCTACCACTTTGAGCCGTTATATTCACTGTAACGGTAGGTTCTCCTTAAAGAATTTGTTTACATGCTGGGATTCGAACCCCTGACCTCCTGAAGGTAGGCACTCAGAGGTCGCCCAACATGTGGTCTAGCCAGCTTTCTCCACTATAGCAAAGACCATTAGGTAAATGCTTTGAGGTTTTTAAAAGTGTGACTCTGCTACTTCATTTTTTTTTTTTGTATAATATTTCATAATGTTCGCA